CAGCTTCATCAGTTTCTCAGCGTGTTCTCTCTTCTCATGAGATTGGCGGAGAAAATATTTGGCAAAGTTCCTCAGAGCCACAGCATCCCGGTCGAAGTAGCAAGACATAGACAGGTAGACGTAGGAGGCATACAGTTCCAGGTTGATCTGGCGGTTGATGGCAGCCTCCGAGTCCTGGTGGTAGTTCTGGCGCATTTGAGAGGGAGACGCAGTGGTCATGGCAGCGGCTGGGCAAGGCGTGGTGGTGACGCTGGAGCGACGAGGTTGCAGAGGGTTCTGGCTTGGAGCAGCGGGCTGGGGTCGCAGGGGTGGAGTGCAGGGTTCTGTTCAAGCAATGTTGAAGCAGGAAACCTCGGCGACTCTGGGTGAGATCGTCTCCTGATTATCACTTTAAAAAGCTCTGTTTTAACGATGTCACAATGCTTGCGTTTCAACACGAGGTTTGTTTGTCTATGGTTGAGTCTCCCTGTGTTGCCCGGTCTGGCTTTCAGCTCTTGTTTCCAGGTGACCTTTCTACTTTAGCTTCTTGAGTAGCTTTGAGCGGAGGCACGTGGCACCATGTTGGGGCTCTATGTGAGTGGAAGGCTCATTCAAACCATAGCAACCAACCCTCCCCTATGGTGCCGAAGATTTTCTGACTTTAAATAGGGTGAGGACGTAGAGCATGCGATGAGACAAGACCACAGGGAGAGCGCAGTGGCTGTAGCCGAGGCAGCCAGCCCTTCCAGTAACTTCCCTGAGGCAAGAGAAAGCAGGTTATGGGCCACACAGCTTACATCCTGGGAGCAGATGTGTCCCCAGCTGAAGGTGCCAGAAGGCACCAACTGACACAGTAACAGCACTTGCCAGAGGCAAAGAGCAGAGCCCTGGTTGAACCTAGCTTTAGTGAGGTTTGTTCCCAGCGCTCCACGGATACGAGCTTGAAATAGGAGTTAAACTGTGAAGCTTCTTGAATGCATGTTTGACACATCCCTGAACCACACTGCCTGGCCGCCTGTGGTCCTGCCAGGGTTCATTTGAAGGTCCCAGGCAGCTGAGGGACGCGCTCCCCCCCCTCTCTCTTTCTCTCTCTCTCTCTCTCTGTGTGTGTGTGTGTGTGTGTGTGTGTGTGTGCATGCGTGTGCGTGTGTCTGTGTGTCTGTGTGTTCAGAGCCCTTCAAACTGGCCTTGTTTTGATTTGAGGGCTTCCTCTCAGCAACACTGACCCCTGACCCCTTGCCCTCACTGCCTCTGGCACAGCAGTTCTCTGATCATCTCACTTGACAGCTTGGCCAACCTGGCAGCCATCACCCTCACCTCCTCACTGAACAGAGCTGGTGTCCCACATATGACCATGGATGACCAAAACACAAAGAACACCTTGTCTTTGGGGTCAGTGTGTGGCTGCTTGCTCATAGGTAATAGTAACTGCCATTTCATAAACCTACGTACACGTACGACAGCAGTTGCCATGTGTCATCTTAGAAGGCTTGAAAGAGGTTTTTTGTTTGGTTGGTTTTGTTTTTTGTTTGTTTTTGGTTTTTTGTTTTTTGTTTTTTTGGGTTTTTTTTTTTTTGACTGGGCAGTTGTGGCACACTCCTTTAATCCCAGCACTTCGGAAGCAGAGGCAGGTGGACTTCAGTGAGTCTGAGACCAGCCTGGTCTACAGAGTGAATTCCAGGACAGTCAGAGCTACACAGGGAAACCCTGTCTCAAAAACAAACAAAACCCAGAAGAGAACATTTCTTTTTAAAATGTGAACCAGATGGACAAGGTGGTGCACACCTTTAGTCTCAGCCCTCAGGAGCAGAGGCAGGAAGATCGTTGTGAGTTTGAAGCCAGCCTGCTCTATACAGTGAGTTCTAGGCCTGTCAGGGCTACAAAGTCAGACCTTCTCTCTCTCTCTCTCTCTCTCTCTCTCTCTCTCTCTCTCTCAAAAAAAAAAAAAAATTGTGGACCAAAGGAGTTTAAACTGTCCATGTTTAAGATATCCATTATGGTGTTATTAAACTCTGGTTATTTAATGCTGTAAGGGGAACAGTGGGCTGCATCCCGCCCAGCTCCCGTCTGCCCGGCTAGCTTAGCCCCCAAAATAGTTACACAGAAACTGTATTCATTTAAACACTGCCTGGCCCATTAGTTCCAACCTCTTATTGGCTAACTCTTTCATATTCGTTTAACCCATCTCCATTAATGTGTATTGCCACTTGACTGTGGCTTACGGGCATGAGTCTAACCAGCGTCCGTCTTGGAGAGGAGAGCCATGGTGTCTGCCACACTGCCTTCTTCCTCCCAGCATGCAGTTCTGTCTTTCCCGCCTATCTAAGTTCTGCCCTATCAAAAGGTCAAGGCAGTTTCTTTATTCAACCAATGAAAGCAACATATAGAAAGAAGGACCTCCTACAATTCAATGAACAGTGACTGTTAATTTAACAAAATAAATAGTTTCTTTATTTTCTTCTGGGGACAGTGCTTTGAGGCACTCAGAATGGCCCAACGTTTGACATACTGTTGTAGGCTTTTTCACAATACAGCCTCTAACAAAACTAGGCCACCTCAAACCCCTGGTAATAGGATTGTTTACCTTTATGCCAAAAAGGTTGGGGAAGCACCCTGGTCCACATGTGGTGTGTGGCCAGGCAGATTCCCAGGGTACATGTCGTAAGATCTAAAGTCCTGATGATATTGTCTAAAATAAAGAGGCGGTCATCAGCGCCTACTGTGGCCCCATGTGTCCTAAGGGTATCTGTTACAGGACAGAGTATGCTTTCTTGCACACTTACAGGACAGAGTGAGCAGGAAATGTTTGTGAAAGTGTTGAAGGTGCAAACACAGAATCGGCTTTTTGTAAGTTAAGATAAAATGGGCAGGGTGGGGTAGAGTGGGGGTGGGGAGGGGTGGGTGCTTGTGACTCATGGCCACTGGAGGGATGATCTGTGGCATCTGTAGAACTTCACCGATGGCCTCGTCAGTACATTTACGGTAAGTTGGGGCAGTAGGCACCGAGCACCTGGTACCCTAATTATATCTTTTCTGACTCACGACAGGCATCGCTATCTGATCAGGGGCCTTGGCCACAGACTCTGGCTTCAGCCGTGGAATCTTTTTAGTAAAAGATGAAATCGTTTACCATCTCCAGGCCAGGAGAAAGAGGCCGGGAGTGAAGAAACTCTTTCTTGTTTTGTTTCAAGGAAAGGTTGCGGAGTTCTCAGGTGTCATTAGATTCCACTGAACCTGTGTTAACCCACGTCTGAAATAGAGACTGTATTTCGTAGAACCATCCCATATGGTTATTATGGGACGGAGAGGAATGAGGAAGTGTTGGGAGATTGAGCAGAACAAGGCTCTCCTGGGAGATCAGTGAGGGCCCCATCACTCACAGAAAGCCCAAAGGTGCACCTCTGCCTGCAAGAGAGTTCTGCTAAGGCTTGCTTAAGACAGATACAATCTGGGCTGGGTTTCTGAGTTCTGTGTGTTTGTTTGGCTTGCTTTCTGAAACAGAGTCCTGGTTTGTGAACCATGCTGGCCTCACACTCGCTATTGTCCTTTTGCCTCTGCCTCCAGCTAGGATCTTGCCTCAAAAGGACTTTTCTTGAGCCAGTGAGATGACTCAACAGGTAAAGGCGCTTGCTGAGCAAACGTGAGAGTCTGAACTCAGTCCCCAGAACCCAGTGGTGGTATGACAACCAGGGCTATTAAAATTAAATAAATAAACAAATAAAAATAAAATATTAAAATAAATAAATAAAAATAAAAAGTGAATGCAGTAACACTTAAAAAAGGGTTTTCTTCTTACAAATAAGGAAGGAAAAAGGAGAAGAAAGACCTCAATGAGAGAGAAGGGGAAGAAGGAAACAGCCTGGAGGCACAGACACCGGGTAAGGGCTACAGTCCGGTTAAGCCTCTTGCTCAATCAACACGGAGTTTGCAGTGGGTTCCTAGGCTTCTGTAGGCCCCACAGTCTCACTCACCTGGCAGGACAGGCAACACCCACCCGTCAGGGTTCCTGGAGGTGTAACATGACTTCATGTTTATAAGAAGGACCAGTGCCAAACCGGGCACATAGGAAGGGTTTAGCGAACTCAGCAACTTGACCCTGCCCAGTCTCACAACAGTAGGAAGTGAATTTCTCATCCATCCATCCATCCATCCATCCATTCATCCATCCATCCATCCTTTTAGCTCCTCTGAGCATCCTCACTTTGTACTGAGCAGGAGAGGGTATGGGTTGATAGGAAACACTGTTTTGATCTAGGACCATCAGGAGGCCAAAGATGGCCATTTTGCGCAGTATGAATGGGGGCCTCCCCATCATTCAGACTTCTCCCACAGTTTACCCCATTTGCTTTCGAGGGCACCTTTCCATACAAGCTGGACATACACCCCAGAGGAACAAGTAGGCCTCCCTGGCGTACGGTGGGTGTGGGCTCACAGAAGGAACACTGGAAGTGTGTGCTAGCTCTGTGTGCCCTATGCTGAGGTTCGAGCAGGATGAGAGCAGTCTTCCCTTTCCTAGAGAAGTAACCTGGACGCCAACAGCTCTAGAATATCCTGACTGGTTCTTCTCTGCAAGTCCTGAGAGTCCTTGTTAGTGCCGGCTCCACGTGCTCTTATTGGGTGAACCCCAATAGTGCTCACCCTCTCTGTGACACCTTTCAGACTGGGACCTGAAATATAATCACCCTCATGCGTTGGCTTAGTCCCTCACCATCCCTACTTGCCCCAAATGGGGCTCTGGGCACTGACTCAGAGCCCTTTGTGCCACAACCTTCTGCCTACAGGACATTCTCACCAACCTTAGTTTGCGCAGTTTCCATGCTGGGATCATGCTGACATCAGAGACCCATAACCCTGAATTTGCTTTAGAAACAATGGCCCACTGTTGGGTAACTCAGTGCCTGCAATGACTTTGTAACTTCTTTGAGTAGTGAATATTGACTGCATTTAATCCCCAGTCAGGCTCCCAGCAGGTCCACACATCCCAGGATTTCCACGGAGGCAGCCTACACTTACAACTGAAGTTGTAACTTATTCAGAATATTATGAGGTTTTCTTTGCTTGGCAAGTTTTAAAAACATTTATTTGTAAAGGGAGGGCATGTATGTGCCCTTGCACATGTTAGAGTGCAACTTGTACAAGTCAGTTCTCTCCTTCCAACATGGGGGGTCTGGGGATCCAACCAAGGTTGTCAGACTGGGTATTTCTTTATCCACTGAGTCATCTAGCCAGCCCCTATGTGATTTTTTAAAAAATAGCTCAATTGCAAAGTTCTTCAGTGTGAACTACAGAGATGACAGCATCATGTCACAATGGCCAAAGGTTGGACATCACTCCTCATCTGCCGTATGGTGGAGTGAGCAAGAGAGAGCTGCCCTCCCCATCCGCCACCCCTCACCACTTGTAGTGGGTGGGAGAGCTGGTCCTGAGGCCATGGAAGTGGGAGAGCAGGCCTTGCCCCTCATCAGCTGCAGCACTCCAGGGAATGGGCTCTGCACCTCACCTAGGTAACACAATAGGGCTGATCCTCTTGGGGGTGCAGAGCAGGAGGGCTGACTCCCCCCATCTGCCATGTAGTGGCATGAATGAGGGAAAGATGCCTCCCACACCTCAGCCCTTGTCACCTGCAGCAGGCAGCAGAGCTGCCCCAGTGTGTGTGTGCGGGTAAGCCAGTCCCAAGTGCAGGAGAGCTGAACTGGCCCTGTTCCTTGCTACAGGGGGTGAGCTGGCCAGGGCAGGGCTGGAGACCTTGTCCTGGTCGTGTCAATGAGGAAAAGCTGGCAGGTTGGCCAATCCAGCTACCACCCATGTTGTTGGAGGCTGCCTGTTTGTTCCCGGATGCTCTGACCTGAAATAGCCACACAGAAACTGTATTAATTAAATCACTGCTTGGCCTATTGGCTCTAGCTTCTTATTGGCTAGGTCTTATGTCCTAAACTAGTCCATCTCTATTAATCATCTGTGTATCACCACATGGCTGTGGCTTACCAGGTGAAGTTCCATCCCCAGTGTCTGTCTCCAGTGGGGCTACATGGTGTCTCCTGGCTCTGCCGTCTTTCTCTCAGCATTCAGTTTAGTTTTCCCCACCTAGCTCTGTTCTGACCTGCTATAAACTCAAAGCAGTTTCTCTTATTCATTAACCAATACAAGCAACACAGATAGCAAAGGACTTCCCACACCATACCCGGGCCCAGAACCAGGGCTATGAGTTAGCCCACCCCAACATCCACCTTGTCTATGAACTGCTGGAGCATATGCAGGGGCTGGACCTGCAGATCCAGAGCTGCAGGATCTCCACGACACAAGGCAATAACAGGATATCCACAAGGAGTTCCCATGAGGGCCCTGTATCAAGGGTGCAGCAGAAGACAGAGGCCTTGAATCAGACCAAAGACTCATTGCAGTGAACACTTGCAAGTAAGGACGTACGGACTCAAGGGTTTACTGTGTGACTCACTGTGTCACACTACAGCTTCCGTGCTGAGACTCTTTTCTTTTCTTTTCTTTTCCTTTTTATTTTCTTTCTTTCTTTGATGGGGGATATATTAGTTGGTTGCTTTTGTTCTTTGGATTTTCTTTTAAATTTTATTTTGGGGGAAGGCTGCAAGGGCAGAGGGCAGATATGAAGGGGCGGGGAGATGAATGAGAGCCAGATGCATGATGTAAGCCCACAGAGAATCAATAAAAAAAAAAATTTAAAAAAGGTTGGGTGCACCTGCGTTGACATATGCTTGCTCACTCTATCCCTCCCAAAAGATGCTCTTACTGGCACAGTTTCATGGAAATATAACTATTATTCTCGTCTGTCTGTCTGTCTGTCCATCTGTCATGTCATGCTGCAATACAAACCAGAATAGGCCTTGTATATGCTCGGCAATGCTTCTGTCTAAAGTCACACTCTGTCTTTGTCCCCGTCGGCAGAGGGGTGGCGATAGATTCCCACTGTGGCTAGCCTTGGCTGCTTCATGCTTCACCATCATCTCTGCCCACCCCTTTGTAAATAGTGGCTTTCATGTCTTTCCAGCCAGAATCCTGGCTAATGCTGACAGCATATGGAAAAGATAAGACATTTTCTTTCTAGTGTGTATTTCACAGGCATAGGCTGTCTTTTCCAGTCCATCTCCAGAGACTCGTCACCCACAGAAGCCGTCTGCTCCCCGTCCCGGCTCTCTGTCCTAGCCTGGGGACAGTGCTGCTGAATGTAGCCCCCTGACCCACATCAGAGCCACCCCTTGGGGGTTTATTAGGAGTACACATCGCTGGGCATTCAACACCTGCCAACTCTTGAGGGACAAGGCCTTGGGATCTGTTTACATAAACTTTCCAGGTGAAAACCCCTTCCTGGAGAATCTAGGGTAATGACATTTTGTGTGGACACACTGATAATTCTGAGATGGAAGCACTTAAGGAAAGAGCAAACCCTGGGAACGCGCTCTGTCTTCTTCCCTTCTCCTAAAGCAGGTTATAAATGTCCCTGCGCCTCCTGAGCCCGATGATTGCCCAAGGCCCAGAGCTGGAGAGCTGGTCTTTGGATTCGTTTGCACAAACAGCCTCAAACAGTTCTTTCCCCGTGTGTTTCTCGCCTCTGTCCTACAATGTCCCAGCCTTCACATTTCCGGGAAACCCCTTGTGGATAAAAACATTAATACGGATAAAGGGGGGGCCTTCTCTCCTGTCATAGAACTTTTGTCAGCTTAATAGCGCCCCTCCTCCCCCGGGCCACTAAATCACTAAATTAAGAAGAGTTTCCCTTTTTCTACGCTCTGAACGAGGGATTTCTCTTTGGGTTACAAAACTCCGCCTCAGGGTGGTGAACGCAATTCCTCTGTTGCTCGTCCAAAGCCTTTCTTAGCTTTCTTGTTTCAAAGAGCAGATTTGAGATTAGCTTAACGAGGCACACATAATACAAGGTTAAAACAACAGACGGCGGCCAGTGAGGTGGAACTGTAAAGGTGCCTGCCCCAGCAAGCATGGGTTCTATCCCTGGAGCCAGCGCAAGGTGGAGAGAACTGACTTGGCTGTTGTCTGCTGTCGCTTGTCCAACCTCCACACACCTGTTGGCTGCACCCTCCATGAAGATCTCTAAAAACAAAACGATGAAAAACAAAGCCCTGAGATTTGCAAGCTATTAATTGCAAACACTCTTCTTTGACTAGATTCTCCCTGACTACAGTGTTGGAGCATATGGAAACCTGCCGCTTACCCATGCTGGAAACACATCCAAAGGAAGGCTTATAAACTTAATGTCCTTTAATCCCAGCACCTGGGAAGCAGGGGTAAGTGAATCTCTGTGAGCTGGAGGCCAGCCTGGTCTACAGAGCTAGTTCCAGGACGGCCAAAGATATTCCCAGAGAAACCCTGTCTCAAAACAAACAAACAAAAAAACAAAAACAAAGAAAAGAAAGAAAAGTGAGATGAAGTAGCAACATTTGATCTAAAATTGGTCACAAAGCAATATTAACAACTTGCCCTAGAGTAGCTCATTAACAAATTAGGGGAGGTTTCTATTTCCTAAGTTAGTCAGCAACTCTGCTCTGTTGTTAAAGACAACTCCTGTTCCTGAAGAAGCTCTGTTTTGTTTGATTGGGGTGGGAATGGCCTCAAACTTGCTGTGTAGTCAGAACTGGGTTGAATTTGTCACCTTTTCCTCCCGGATGCTAGTAACTCAGTCCACAGCCAGGCCTTGGCTATAGAGGGTCCTTTAAATGTGTGCGAAATGACTAGTCGCGATGGGAGCCTTCTGCTTTCGTGGACTGTCTCTGGACGTCTACTTCTTCTCAGTCTCGCTTCCCTCTCTTCCTTGTTCCCCTCCTCATCTTCATCTTCTTCTAACTTTTGCTTGTGTGAGATAGGGCCTCTCTCCAACCTGTCCTTGAACTCAGGGTCCTCCTGAAGAGCAGCCTCCCTACTGCTGCGATTGCTGGTGTCGTTTCTGGTTTTTTTTTTTTTTTTCCTTTTTCATTCTCTGGCTTGAGAGGGAGGAAATGTATTGATATGTCTTCAGATAATGTAATTTATTGATTTATAAAAGAATAGAAGAGATTGATAAACATTTGGTTGGGAAAAAAGCAGGCTAATAGAGATGCAGAAGGTGAATGGTCGAGGAAAGATGAGTTGGTGGTAAGATCATCAAAACACAGTTCCTAAAGTGCCATGTAGTTACTGTCATCAAGCTCGGAGCTTTGGAGCAGATGGAACAAGGAAGGGAACAAACCAATTATAAGATTCATTCTGTGCACAAATTAGAAACACCCCAGAGACTTTGCTTGACATGTCTGACACATGTCCTGGGAGACCTGCAAGAGGGGAAAACTTAGCTAAGGTCTCCCCACTCCGGCTTTGGTACTTCCTCCTCACCAGTGTGGGGATGGATTTGATGTTCCTTAGCTCTGGGATTTTCAGGATCCCAAACTCTAAACGGCAAGGGCACAGACACAGTGTTGAGATCACCCTGCTCTGAGCTGTAGGACCTGTTTTCTAAAGCACCGATCACAAGAGCGTTTCCAATTATAATGGCCCTTTAGATAACTTGAGAGACATTACAAAATTATGATTACCTAGGCGCCACTCAGATTAACAGATCATAGACCTTTAGTACGGGGCTCCGGTTAGTCTTAAGTACAGTGGGAATAGAAAAGTGCTGAAAACTGGGTCCCGGGGACGATCACCTTTGACCTTGGATCAGTCACAGGGTCACAGCACACTCTTCCCGCCCAGCATCTCGGGCTTAGGGATTCTGTATTACAAATGAGAGCTCCAGGGCCTTTCCACGTGGAGGATTCACAGACGATGATCCACTGAGTTTACAGAGGGAAGATCTGGATTCCAATCTGCCCTGCCCCTGGCAGCCTGATCCAGGCTCTTGAGCACTGTGGTTTGCTTTCTTCATTGGCGAAATGGTTAGAGGAACGATTAACTGTACGAACATCCGTCTCAAGACGACTCATGGATTTTCAATCACGTCCCAAATAGAGAAAAACTCCACAGGTCAGGGGCTGGATCCCATTCATTGTTGCATTTCCAGCTCGTAGATCAATAGGACACATTGTAGACCGGAAATGACTCATTTGGGAAAGCAGACTGAAAAGGATTAAGTACATTCGTGGCCACTAAGCATGAAGTTTTACTAAGGTGTGAGGGGCAGGATTGAAACCCATGAGTCCTCATTAATATCCTGAAATCCTGGGTTCATTTTCTTCCTTGTCTTGCTAAGCACAAAGATGCATTTGATCATAGCGTACGGGACATTCTTTGGCCTGTTTTCTGCTATCGTGTGTCAGAATGTGGGTGGGTTTACACATGATTTGGCTAGAAGATATTTAAACTAATGTTTACTAGCATAAAAACTTTTTTAGCAACCCAAGGTGTCAAAAGTCAGCAGATAAACCTATCTTTTATAACACATGTGGTTCTCAAGTAAACCTGTTGTAACACCATGGGAGTAATTTTTAATATGATATTTAATTATTCTTTGAGAACTTCATTTATGCATACAATGTATTTCAATCATACTGCCCTCCTGGCAGCCATCAATTGCCAAGAGCTCCTCAGCGAGGGGTGGGAGCTTGTATGCCCCTCCTCCATCCCAAAGCATGGGTTTTATTAACTAAGAACAGTAGTCTATTGAAACCTGGGTATCGCTTAGTAATAGATATTAAAAAAAAGACAGGGCCTGAGCTCAGGCTGACCTCAAACTCATGGCTGAGGATGACCTTGAACTTTTGATCCTCCTGCTTCTACCTCCCAAGTGCTAGAATTACAGACATGTGCACCGTAGTTAGCTGGAAATATCACCTTGCAAAGAGCAACCAAGCCATGACCTTGTTTATGTGAAATGTCTGTGGTTAGTGCACACAAAACCTTATTGAGATAGGCGATGTGGACAGAGTAAGGACTGGGTCACGGGCTGAGCGGGGACTTGGCATGATTGCTGACCTGGAACTCAGTGTGTTCCTTGGCTGAATCAGTTCCTTGGCTGAATCAGTTCCTCTCCCCAGGCCCTGCTTTTAGTCTATGAAACAGGGTCAGATGGTTATCTCTGATGTCCGTTCACTCTCTCACAGGCTCGGAGTGTCTGATCACAAACTGTCTGGTAGAACTCAGCTACCAACAACTTCCAAATCCTAACAGGCATTTGGGGGGTCGGGTGGAGGCAGAAAAAGGTCATTTAGCTCCGTGGTTAAGAGTTCAGCTCTAAACATAAAAACAAAAGAGCTTACAATTCCCCATATCCACATGGAAATCGTAAACAGGAACAGCAATAAATGCATCACTGACAAAAACCACCGACGAGCCTTTCTTTCTACGATTCCTTATATCACAGTGTATGGGTCTCCTGCAATGACTAAAATGACCACAACCTTGAGGACTTAAGATGCAAATGTGTATGTGTCACAGGGCTCAGGGCACCCCCATAACTGACTGTGTCCCCCATAACTGGCTGACTGTATCCCCCATAACTACCTGACTGGGATCCCCATAACTGGCTGTCTCTGGCCCCCATAGCTGACTGGCTGTGTCCCAAGTCACCTAGCCTCTGCTTCCACCCCTCACTCTCCTGCCTCTTGCTTCTCTACTAAAAACTCTCAGGTACCCTACTCTGGGGGCTCCAATATAATCTCCACACCAAGGTCTTAGGTAGTTAGTTAGACCTCGGCAGGAAGTGGACCCCTCCCTCATAATCAGCAGGTGTAAAACTTAAAGGCTGGTGCTGTATGGCTAATTACTGGTCTGAGGACTTGACTCCTACCTTTGACCACAAGAGGACATGTGCAATCTTGAACTCATACCCAGAAGTAGCTCCCTAAACCTGGCCAGCACTAGCACTAGGAAGCTAAGCCTTTTATAAGAGTATTACAGAACCGGAGGCTTTCTGATACACAACAGAGATATCCTATAGGCTTCTTGCATAAGTCTACCTAAGCTGGCCTGGCAATGGCTCGTGTGGCTCAGAGACCCTCGGGGTAAAGCTGCTTGCTCCAGAGACTTTAGAGACAATGTCAAGGCTGTCCATTCTCGTCCTTGAGCATGCCCACTTCATTCTGTGATCCCTTCCATCTCTCTTCTACAGTACACTCTGTGTCTCATCTGGATTATTTTGACAGAGACCCCAAGGCCCAGGGAGCCAAAGTTACTTCACAGAGACCTGGGAGCAGGGGGTGGGATAGATCCTGGTGGCATCCGTTTTTTTTTTTCCTGGTTTGTCTTCATGTGGCAAACCACAAATTTCTGTTCCTTGAGTTGAGACCACGCTGTTCCCTGTTCCTTTGTACTCAGAGCTCCCGTCATGGAGTGCACTTCTGCACGGCCTTTCGGGTCTCCCTCGCTTTCCTAGTTTAGAAACTATAAGCCTCGGTTCTCTGGCTCTTGCTACCCATGCTAACTTGTCCTTTCCTAAAGGGGGCAGGAGTGATTTATGCTCATGTAATATTTCCTGGTTGTCCATATTGCCATGGGATAAGGCCAATGCATTGGATTAAATTAGTCAATACTGGATTAAAGTGGTATTACCAGACCTCAAATGGTGCATTCTTTTGCTTCTGAGGCACTCATTTGGTGTGATGAGCCACTGGATCCTGAGGAGAGCTTAAAGATGCCCTTGTGGTCACTTGCATCCCTTACATCATGACCACGATGTGGTTTTCCTTTTGGGGTTTCCCGCGCATCACTTCAGAACCATGGGAAGGAAATTCATAGCCCACCTAAGAGAAGCAAGTGTACGTTTGCTGTGTTCCAACCAAGTGAGATGAATGACTGTGTGAAACTTGGTTTCTGCCAGCCAAGGCAATTCTGGCGTCAGGCAAGTCACATTACACGTGGTTTCCAGGCTGCAGAGTGAAGGCTGGGGGGTGGCCCAATCATTCACTGGCGTTATGATGAGGCTCAGTGGACGGATGCATTCTCCTTGAGCACCGAGTGCTTCTCTAAGAGATGGCTAACTCCCATTCAGTCCCTACACATTCATCTGGGTGGAGAGAATACATCCATCGTAACTGCTGCCTTAAAAACGGAAAGTTAGATTAGCCCGGGAGTTCAAGTTTTGTTTGCTTCTGTAAACGGTTGGCCAAGTGTTCTAGAGTAATAGTGAATGAATGAATGAAGCTTGGCAATTTAAGTTAGATGTTGGAGCCACATGACTTTTAATAGTATCTTTAATAGTATCCAGCTAGGTTTGTCTTGTAAAAGACAAGAAGTGGTCAGCTGTGTTTATTTTGTAGGGAGGGTGTTTGCTTGTTTTTAAGACATTACAAGAAAAACCCAAATGATGCCAGGGATT